AAAAGAGAGATTCTGAAAAATAAATAACAAGCACTACTATTTGTAAAGTACATTTTTACTATTTACAAAATAGTTTCACAAACATGATCTCCTCTTCTGATCATCTCAAGAACATGAGGTAAGTAGAACCAATAATTATCTTTTCAGAATAGAAAAGAGAGATTCTGAAAAATTAAATTACACATAAGGGTAAACCTTTCCTGATTTGAACAGGAATTCAAATTCAGGATTTTCTGCCCCTTCCAGTATTCCACAAGACATATACAATGAAGTCACCAAGATATATATAGGGAAAATGAACAAAAAACTGGAGTCAAGAAAGAACTGGAGATAAGCAAGCAATCTAAATAACTGAAAAACAACACGGACTCATATTTACTTTTAAAACAAAATTCCTCTAAGGAGAAACACTTTTGCAGGGATCTGAATGCTTGTGTCTGCCCCTAATTCATAGGTTGAAACCTAATCACTAATGTGATGGTATTAGGAGGGGGGCTTGTGGGCGGGGATTAGGTCATGAACGTGGAGACCTCATGAATAAGATTAGTGCCCTTATAAAAGAGATCCCAGAGAGCTAGCTAGTTCCTTCTGCCACGTAAGGACTCAGCTAGAAGGCATCACCTATGAAACAGAAAGTAAGCCTTCACCAGACATTGAACTGTGGGCACTTTGATGTTGGACTTCCCGGCCTCCAGAACTGTGAAAAATAAATTTCTATTGTTTTAAGCTTATCAGTTTACAGGTATTTAGTTATAGCAGCCTGAGGAGACTAAAACAACTACCAATGATTTGAAATAACAATATTCCAGAATACAAAGGATAAAATATATGCATATTCTTAATACTTTCCAGTTTGCTGAACTTGACTTATGATGGTGAAAATGTAAGTTGTTTCCCAAACATAAGTTTTAATCACCTCTGATTTACCTTCTGTATCCTCTATTCTTGTGAGTTCAACCCCGTCATTTAATTCAACAGTCATTTACTGATTGGCTATCCTCTCCTGAGGCATGGATATTTCCCAGCAAAATAAGAATCTCACCTAACTTTAATCACTTCTATTCCACAGTATGATATACTCACCTACTGCTGGACCTATATCTTTATAGGGACTACTCTTGACCTGGAGTATAGGTATATGAAAAATTTCATAACAGACTATTGTAGACTTCTGTGTATTTCTGTAAAAAAGATTTTATTATTCTATCTCAATGCAAATACTTTAATGCAGAGCTGATTAATATGACAAAAAATACAGTGTTCAAAAAAACAAACTCTGGCTGAATCCCTTTTACTTCTTCCAAATCACTCTACCTCCAAATTTTATTCTCCATTAGGTAAAATATATTACAGACAAATAAGGAACATCACCTTTCATACAACCCTCCAATTTCCCTCAGTGGATCTTTAATCACTGCCCCAAACAATATATTTTCAATAAATACAATTTAAAATATTTTAGCATATTAGGTTTCAGGGTAGAGTGAGTAGAATACACTCTATTTTTTAAATATACATTTGGTGCAAGTAAGCAATTCCTTTTTTAAAAAAAATTGACTTTGATAGTGATAGTATAAAAATATTAATAAAGAGTATGGTCTACGGGAAACAGAATTTTGAGTCAGGTCTGTATCTCACTTCCAGCTCTGGTTGCTTTAGCTGGTAAATATTTAACCTATTTTTTACCTTTAGTTTACCATCTGTGAAATGGGAACAGTAATATCTACTTTGTAAGGGAAACAGAATTTTGAATCAGGTCTGTATCTCACTTCCAGCTCTGGTTGCTTTAGCTGGTAAATATCTAACCTATTTTTTACCTTTAGTTTACCATCTGTGAAATGGGAACAGTAATATCTACTTTGTAGGTTTGTTGTGAGTATTAAATGTGATAATAAACCACAATTCCTGGCAGACAGTAAGTACTAAACAATTTATTATCATCATCATGATCTTATTGTTTCTATTTTCATTAATCTTAACAGCTACCTAATAAAATTACTTGAGCTAAAATATAATTATTTGTGCTAAATATGCTGAATTAGCCATTAAATCAATTTTATACTTTCAAATAAAATAAAACATCATGAACAAAGTTAACAAACATCTTAAAACTAAGATTTCAGTTCTGGAAATTAGCATTATTTTTTTCTTTTGACTAAAATCTATCTTAATTTGGGTACAACTCATGAAAATTCTATATATGTCAGGGCTCAGAACACAATACCCCAAAGTATGGCACCTTACAATGCTGAGTACTTTGAACTGAAGGACACTGGAAGGCCTCGGAAGCAAGGTCTCTCTGACCTTCTCCTGCCCTTCTGTCTCCCCTGCCTCTTACTTCCCTGAAACGAGTCACAGAAAACAGAATTCCTCTCATCCAAGGCAAGTCATAGGAACTAGAACTCCTCTCCCTCAAAGCAAACCATAAAACCTAGAAAAGACATTTCTCTCTTCTGCTTTCTCTCTTGAAGACTCTCATTCCAGAGGGGTCCTGCTCCATACCAGGAGGAAGGAATGCCACACAGGTTAAGAAGAATCTGGACAGACAGGACTTGTGGGTTTCCCCCCTTAGTCTATTACCATTAGCTTATATCCCTTTGTCCAGTCATATTTCCACCTGGCTGTCTGTTCTTCATCAAACCTTAGCATAAAAACAGATAGTTCCCTGGGCTGGCTGGTTAGCTCAGTTGGTTAGAGCGCTGTCTTGTAAAACCAAGGTCAAGGGTTTAGATCCCTGTACCTACCAGCTGTGCAAAAAAAAAGACAGTTCCCTAAGTCTTTGGGTCTTCATTCTGAAGCCTCCCATGTCATGTAAAATTTTGATTAAATAAATTTGTTATGCTTTTCTCTTGTTAACCTGTCTTTTGTTATAGGAGTGTCAGCCATAACTCTTATGATGGGTGAGGAAAGGTAACACACCTTTCCACCCTTACACACCCCAACTGAAAATGTCTGTGTTTTAAAGTGAGTTAACTGCCCAATGTGAATCTGTGTTTAATCATAAGAACTGGTCAAAATTATTTTCATTCAAGTTTAAAATGGAGGACAAATAACAAAACAGAGACACTACTTCTAAAGACTTTGAAAAAGGGAAGTCCATAGCACCTTTTAAAGTGTTCTTTAAGGTATACTCAAAAAAGCATTAAACTGATTTTAAGCCTCCAAAAAAAAAAAGGCAAATTTCAATAAATATTTGAGAATGAAAGTCTGGAGAACTGTTAAAAGCATTGGGTTGTGTGTTATAAATCAGCTGAAGCCCATACTTACTTTAAGTACTAAACATCTAAAATAATTTACCAAAGAGATGACTCTTTTCAAAATTGAAATAAAACACTTGACAGTGTGTAGTTGTGTATATTAGTTTGCTAGTACTGCAATAACAAAGTGCCACAGAATAGGTGGCTTAAACAACAGAAATGTATTTTCTCATAGTGTTGGAGTCCAGAAGTACAAGATCAAGGTATCAGCAAGGTTGGTTTCCTCTGAGGTCTCTCTCCTGAGTTTTGTAAATGGCAGTCCTTCCCTTGTGACCCCACATGGTCTTCCCTCTGTGTCTGTTTCCTAACTTCCTTTTCTTATAAGGACACCAGTCATATTGAATTAGGGCCCATCCTAATAACCTTATTTTAACTTAATTACCTCTTTAACCCTATCTCCAAATACAGTTACACATTCTGAGATACTGGAGATTAGGACTTTAACATATAAATTTTAGGAGGGACAATTCAGCCAATAACAGTGTGAGATATTAGTACATTATTTAAAAATAATTTGCTTATATGTATCATCTCTACTATACACAAATATTATTTTTAGGGCCGGCCAGTTAGCTCAGTTGGTTAGAGATTGGTGTTATAACACCAAGGTAGAGTGTTCAGATACCCATACAGGCCAGCCACCAAAAACTAACAAACAAACAAATGTTGTCTTTATCTTGTTACTATCTTTAAAATCCATTTTTTTTTTCCTTTTTGTCTTTTTTACTGACCGGTAACGGGATCGAAACCCTCAGTGTTGCGCCCGCACCGCGCTCAGCCAGTGAGTGGAAACTGGTCTCCACATGGGATCCGAACCCTTGGCAGGAGCGCCGCCACGCTCCCAAGCGGCGCACTCTCCAGTGCGCCACCGGGCCGGCCCTAAAATCCATTTTTAATGAATTTCATATATATCCTTTAAAAATAAACTCAACCATGACGAATTAAATTGTGACTGATACAATTGCAGTAAGTTAATATAAAAAATAGTGACAAATTTGTACACTAATTTGACATACAGTCCAATGGAAATAATTCATGTTAGTTTTTCAGACCTTAGAATGGATTTCTGGACTCACTATGGTATGGTAGTCATTTATGGCAGTTGGAATGAAACAATAAAGTTCTTTAGGGTTTCTACCCTAAGGCAATAAATAATAGTATAGTATTAAATATCCATAGAAATAAAAATTATACAAAACCTGGCACACAAAACTGTTGTTCTAAAACAAAGATGATAAGCTAGTATAAACTGTATGACATCCTAGCTGGTAGTGCACAGATTATTTCAATTACTCATTTTACCTTAAGATAAATGAATGTGAGCATGCCTTGTTCTCTGTTATTATGTTAACCTGATGTGTGTCATTCACTAATAATGAGATGACAGCCTTTGTTACCTGACCATATGGCAAGTGTTAGAAGTATAAGAAATCACATCATCTTCTGTAAATCACTAGATTTCCTACAAATCAATTCACAGATGCAAGAAATATAAGTACCTATATTAATATTTGTGTTTATATATTTGTGCATTTGCAGTTTTATCTAAGAATTAAAGATACGGAAAAAACAAAACCAATCCAGTGCAGCCAAATGACAGTTACAAGAATAAACTATTTAAAGAGTATTTTCTTTATAACAGTAACAGAGTGTTGATATAATCGAGTCCACTTAATTGAACTTAATAATTCATATTTATATACAAAAATATGAATTAAGTATACAATTGTAAAGATAAATGTTAAGATTTTAAAACAGAACTTTACTATTAATGATAAGCATACTGTATTGTGATTACAGGTTTTACCTGAATGGTATTATTAGAAAAGAAAGCTATAATAAATCATATGGGTATAAATTTTTATTTAAAATGAGTCATATATTTTCAAGTTCAAAGCTAAAATTATAAACACATTATGATTTTACTGTGGTAGATCTATAACTATGCTCAGTTTTTTAGTTCAGATATTGTAAATCTGTATATTCACTGAAGTGTAACAGAGTCTCATCATGACCCATTTTAAACTTAAACTGCTAAATTATAACTAATAAGCACGTACCATAGTGTAAATTTTAATAATTTCTATAGTTTTTATTATCTCCATTTCATCTTTGAAAATATTTTTAATCTATGTCAACATGAAGCACAAGTGTTTACACATTTATTTCACTAACATTGATTTTTTTTACCCCATTTTGGCAAGGTAATGATTTTGAATTATGAATTTAAATTAAGGATTCACACAAGGTTTAGGTTCATGAGTCCTCGTTTTAAAATATAATCCTTTAAGTTAAAATTCAGATTTAACTTGCTCAGCTCAATATCGTAAAGATTAGACTACCTTCTGTAACGTCTGCTCCGACATTTCTTTCCCATTCTTCTCTGGAGTACTCTTCTTGACCCCATCATCTTCACCATATCTAAAGAGTTGCTCTGGTAGAGAACAAATAATATATTATGGTATCTTGTATACTGCTGTGAAACACTGTCCTGTCATTTTAAGGAAAAGGCTTCTATGGCTTTTCTATTATGAATAAGCTAGTCTATTTTCTTGTCAAATATCTGGCCAGTAACTAAACAGTGACCTTTTTCAAGATTTTCAGTCACATAATTATGTATATTTGTAATGGCACATTTCTTTTTCCTGCAGTGTAAGGTTTTCAAAAGTATAATAGATGTGCAGGTTAACAATCCTATACTTTTATTCTTATTTTCACTCTTTTGTAGACTATTCCCCGTTTGCCTTAAAAGCAGAATTCACTGCCTTTTTTATTTACATAGTCACTACTAGTTTTGTTCTTTGGATCTTGTTCTCTGTCAGGAGGAACAGAGTTATTGCTGAACAAAGCAAACAGTAACTGAATTAGGGTGGACTGAAACTATAACACGCCCTACCACCACCTTGTCTTCAAGTGAAACATGCACTGGGCAGGGTAAACCATAAAAATCACATTTCTAGAAAAACTGTGACTTCATAACAAGTAGAAACTAAGGTATATAAGTGAAATTATATCTACAAATCATTTCCACTTTGTCTATGCATTTGACTACCAAAATCTTTCCAACCAAGTAAAAATCTGCAAGCAACTTAATAACTTTAAAGGAAAAAAAATCATAAAACTTCAGTTAACATTATTGAAACTGGAATACACCAAAACCTACAAATAACTTTTTTCTTATTAGATTAATTACTGTGACAAATTTAACTAACATTTTCTTATTGAATTATTTTGGGGATGTAACATTTCTTAAAGAATAAAAAAGGAGGCAAAAAAGAATACATAACGCTAAAAGGATACATATCTGTGTTAGCCTGAGGTAATTTTGCTTTAAAGTATGCTTGGCTGCTGTAGGTCAGTGTAAAACTTTGATTTATCAACAAAGGAAAAAGAAAACAATATTATTCTCTGTAGAGTAGAAATCCTCTTGGTATAAACAGTGACTAACAAGTTTGTTAGAGTGAATTAGGCATTTCTTTTGTCTTTGAAACATGACATACCCAATTAAAACTTCTGTATTCATGAAATAAATAGAACACTATCCTAGAGATAATAAAAGCTAGAATAGGTAGAATTTGCCACCTGGGGAATAAGTACCTTTACCTTGATAATAATCTATCAGTTCCCAAGTTTCTTCTCCTAGTCCCCTAACACCATGGTGCTGAATTCATTTACAACACTCTTTCAACAATATAGAAATAATATGCAAATACAATCCATCTCTTCTAGTCATTTAAATAGCTGCTATAGTTCTGAGTATAATATTTACTCTTAAAAATAAGATGATAGTTCTATATTCAAAGAACATAGAGTCCTAACAATAGCTAAATAACTCTGATAAAATAAATGCTGAAGATTGATTTAAAAATGTGTTTGCTGCTTTTTTGCTCCTACGTGTGTGCAAGGCCCACTGGTGGACTGACTGTGTTCACCAGTGATTGTCTTCTGAAAAGTTGCTCTACTAGAGATTGGAGAAGTATGCTGAATGCTCTCACCTTCTATGTGTGCCCTGGGTTCAACCGTAACAGGGCACTTAACCACAGATGTGGAGGAAAAGGAGATTATTTCTGTAAGAACTGGGGCTTCAAGACCTTGGGGGACATGTACTGGGGGTCCCTCATCATCCTGGGACTATATAAAGGTAACTTCTAATTATACCCACCAAAAGACAGGGAGCCAAGGGAATCCAAATTGGAAAAATGTCCCTGTGTGCAAGGGATGGTGCCACCCCCTCCGAGTGTCCTTCACGGATTCAGGAAAGAAAATCACTGGATGGGAAACAGGGTTTACGTGGGGGTTAAAGTTCTATAAAGAAACGTATGATAATGGGCTGTTGTTTACCATCAAGCTCAAAATAGAAACCCAGTATACTGCCATAGGCCCAAATAATTACCTAGTTCCAGGGGTCAAATCAAAGACTACCCCAGCACCCCCAGGTACCCAACCAGAGTCCTCAGTCCCCACTGCAGGGACAGAGGCGGCAGCACCAAAGGAAATAACTCAGCCCCCTGAGCCTAGGCCTCCAACACAAACTGGATTATTCCACTTAATTTCAGAAGCCTTCAAGGTCTTAAATAGTACCAACCCCAATGCTACCCACTCCTGCTGGCTTTGTTATAATGTTGCTCCCCCATATTATGAAGGAATAGCCTTCAGAAATGAAATTAATACTACAACTGATGTCTCCAACTGTCGTTGGCAGCAACGACAGGTCAAACTCACTCTGTCAGCTGCTACGGGGCAAGGAACATGTGTGGGAAAAATACCTTCCTCACACAGCCAGCTGTGCAACCAGACTCTTAACGTGACCCAGCGGTCTAGTGACACATATCTGTTGCCCCCTCCAGAAGGATGGTGGGCATGCGCTACTAGGGTCACACCCTGTGTTAGCTTACAGGTCCTAAAAGGGACCCAAGATTTCTGTGTCTTGGTTCGGTTGTTGCCTTGGCTCGTTTATCATCCCTATGAAGAACTATTATCATAGAAAATAATGGGAACTACCGAACCAAAAGGGAGCCCCTAAGTATCACGCTCTCTGTCCTCTTAGGCTTAGGATTGGGAGCAGCTGGGGCAGCTACAGGGGATTCAGCTCTAGTTATTCAACATCAGAATTACCAAAGTTTACAGGTAGCCATAGATGCTGATATTAAAGAAATAGAAAATTCAATTACTAAATTACAAGAGTCCTTCACCTTTCTTTCTGAGGTGGTCCTGCAAAACAGAAGGGGGCTAAACCTCTTGTTCCTTCAGCAGGGGGGGCTCTGTGCTGCACTAAAAAAAGAATGTTGTTTTTACATTGATCACTCAGGGGTAATTAAAGACTCCATGTCCAAAATTAGAGAAGGCTTGGCCAAAAGAAAAAAAGAAAGGGAACAAAATCAGGGATAGTTTGAGTCATGGTTCAACTCCTCCCCATGGCTCACGGCCCTCGTGTCTACCCTGCTAGGACCATTAGTTATTTTAGTATTGCTTCTGACCTTTGGTCCCTGCATTTTAAATCGCTTAGTAGCTTTTGTTAGAGAACGTGTTAGTACTGTCAAAATTATGATGTTAAGACAACAATATCAGGAATTAAATCAACAAGAGACGAGCATTTCATGATTGAAATACACACAAGAAAAAGGGGGGATTGTAGAGAAAAATATAACTTTAACAGGCGCAATTTGTTTCTATACTAATGCTTGCTAAAAACGAGAAAACATAACTAATGCCATTTTAAGTAAAGCAGCTTTTAAGGGGTTATGTAGAGGCCAGGCACAGTCAAGGCAGGCCCAGGCACGCTAAATTCCAGGAAGAGAGTAATCACCACCCATTTCCAGGAACTGACCAGTTCCTTATCTAGAGGCCACCTGGCCAGACCACAAGGAAGATAAACGATTGGGAAATACACTGTTCCTTATCGGGGTGCCAGCCCACTAAAGCCCACCAATAAATCTAAAGGTCCCCTCAGATACCCCGTAAGCAGTATACAACTCATCCTGTTGCAAAAGTCTGTCAAAAGAACTGTATAAAAAGTGCTTGTGTTAAGAGCTCAGGGTTGCTTCTGTCCAGGAGACTGAGTGTCCCCAGCATACTGGAATAAACTCCTCTTGCTTGATTGCATCAGTCTCTGTCTCGTGGTCTTTGTGAAGTGAGCCATCCCGACATGTGAGATTTGTGCATGGTGCATAGGTCTTACAATATGATCTCACTTATATGTGGAAGCTGAAAAAGTAGAACTCATGGAAGTAGAGAATAGAATGGTGATCACCAGAGGCTGGGGAAGAGGGGTGGTGGTGGATGGGGAAAGGAGTGACATTGGTAAAAGGGTACAAAGTTTCAGTTAGGGCAGAGAAACTGGGTGACCCCAGCATGCAGGAATAAACTCCTCTTGCTTGATTGCAACGGTCTCTGTCTCGTAGTCTTTGTAAAGTGAGCCATTCTGACGTGTGGGATTTGCGCACGGTGCACAAGTCTTACAGGTGGATGTGTGAGCATGTGTTTCACTTTAGTAGAGATTTAGTTTTAATATTTTAATTTTAAATGCTTCACTTTTATTTTTACTACTATAAAAATTCATTCTAATTTATATTCTGTTTCTTCTCTTTACATTTTTCTTTCTTTTTTACTTTTAAGTTTGTTTATTCATAGTTGCTTAAGTTTAATTTATTCTATTTTCTGTATTTTTTCTTTTCTTTTAATCCTCTTGGCTTACATTAAATAAGTAATCTAAATTCTCCTGCAACTTTTTACTTTTATTCTCCTTTTAGATTTTCTCTTTTATCTCAAATTTTTAAAAAATCTATTATAACTTTTTTTTTACTAATCTTAATATGATGCTTCTTACACAAACTTTCTTAAAGGTTTGTTTGTGTTTACATCAATTGGGAGATTAAGAAAGGGAAACAGGTATCAATTTGTGTATGGGAAATTTCCTAAAGAATACTGCTATCTTTACTTCACTTTTATGAAAAGTAAAATGAGTCATAGTGAGTAGGTTTTACTTTAGGAGGTACTCGTGATATAATAAGAAATATATGTTTGGTTTTTGTTTCCTGTACCTGAATACAGAGCTCTAAAAACTTTGGAATTTCCTGAGGGATAGAAGTGTAACTATGGCTGGAGACTGAGTTCAATCACCAATGGCCAGTATTTTAAGCAATCATGCCTATGTAATGGAACTTCCCCTAAAAGATGGGGTTATGAGAACTTGTAGACTGGTGACCACATAGAGGTGCTGGGAGGGTAGCATGCACAGAAATTAGCCTGCAGCTAATTACCAAAACACAATGACTCTTGCTCTAACATTGTACACCAATAATTAGAGGGAAAATTATTAACCCGGATGGCCATTCTTTCCTAGCTTACTAACCTGATCTTATTTGAGCATAACAGGAACTGAGCCCATCACCAATGAAGTATGATGCTGGTCACCTCCCACCTGGAAAGTTCCTT